AGATATAAATATCATTGTTAATTTCCAAATTGTAGTATTCTCATTTGGAAATTGGAAATTTGTGTTTTTAATAAAATAACTATTTTTGAGATAATCAATTAAAAATAATTAGGGGAGCAAAATCCTTTTGATTTACATTGGAAGAGTCTGGAAGACTCTTGTCATAAAATTAGAGAGTAGAGAAGAATACATCATGATGAAACTCGGTTATTTCTCTTTCTTCAAAATTAGAGTCAGGGCATTGGAAGAAGGGAGGGAACCTAGGGAGGACTGCTGTACAATGGGATTTTGAGAGAAGTTTAGCAGTTCTGCACTTTCCCTATGACTTAGGGAATCCCAAAACCTAAGAGACTGTTGTTTGATTGCCTGGGGAGTACGTGAGAGACCGAAAGACTCATGGAGAATTCCTGCATGCAAACTGGTTTAGGATTCATCATGGCAGTAAAGCAAACTATTTTAGACTTGCCTGAAGGCCACCTAAAAGAAAATCAAGTACCACTGAATTCTTGTGCTTCCCATCAACTCACAAAGGAACTGAAAATGGCAGACCTAGTGAAGTCTGTGATTGGTTACAGAAGTCGAAGTATAGTGGATATTTAAGCAGACACCATGGAAAGATGAAGAGTGCCAATATTCACTACTCTGTACCAGTGAATTCACAGTCTCTAGAATAGCATAGGTATTTTGCAGGCATTAGAAAGCATGGAATGAACCAGTGCATGATAGATTTCAGGGCTTTGTAATGATGAGCAGACATGTTACTTGCTACTCTGTTTCAAGGTAGCAATACAAATAAACCAATACACTCCCAATGTGCCTAATCATTTTAATCAATTAAAAATAATTAGGGGAGCAAAATCCTTTTGTCTTACATTGGAAGAGTCTGGAAGACTCTTGTCATAGAACTAGAGAGTAGAGAAGAATATATCACGATGAAACTCGGTTATTTCTCCCCAGGAAATCAAACAAGTCTCCTAGATTTTGGGATTCCCTAAGTCACCGGGAAAGTGCAGAGCTGCTAAATTGCTATGGAATTACTCTGGTATTCCAATAGTCACAAGACAAATGAACAGAATGACAAAGGAACACTTGATTTGAACTTAAACCTAATTGATCATGTTCAATTCCAGATGTTAGAATTTTTTTGAATGTGCTCTTTTAAGTTTTATATCAACAGCATAAATAATAATACACATGTAAATTGGACTACAACTTTATCCTTCAAGACAGCATGAACATCTGACTCAAGGCATGTTCCCACAAGGTATCATGGAATTCCTTACTCCATGTTCTACCTCCTATAAGTGGTTTAACAGTGTTGCTTTCTATCCTGTAGTTACTGGAAAGTGTTCATCTCTTTCAGAATATTTTTTCCTGAATGGAAAATATGCATATACAAACTTATCCCACAGTGCCCAGCAGTGTATCTGTTGTAATTTGATTTTAAATAAGTGATGCAAAATTGAAATCTCTCTGTTCTAGTGTGAATATGGCAATAAATTAGAAAGTGAAATAGAAAAGCTGAACAGTTGATGGGAGAGGCAAAGCCCTGAAGTTGGCTGACATTCACTATCACAGAGATGGTGAACACATTTTACTTCAGTCCTTTTCCTTTGTACTGTGCCTAGATATTTTAGTCAGTTTTGTTCAGAGTAGGAATAGTTAAAATTTTGATGTGAGGGGATATGGGGTAATTGGAAGAAGAATTGCTTCTGAAAGGCAGTTTTAACCTTTAACCGAAGGAAATAAAATTTGGGGATTCCTTTATATTCTATTTCTTTACTGCCCTTTTCTTTCTTTTCTTCTCTTTTCAGAATTTGAGAGCTTTTGTTCACCTAGTACATTTCTAAAAAGACTATAGGATCTTTTTATTCGATTGCAGTAATTACTAGAATATAAAATGAATTGAGAAATTGTTGCCAAAAAATAGATATTTTTAGAGAAAATATCATTTTGCAAAGGCCACAAACTTGAAAATCCAGTTTTATATTTTAAGTGATGTGATTTATGAGGGATTAAATAAAAAATATATCTCATAAAATATTGTCATATAGATAAATTATAACAAGAAGTGACAGCTCAGTGAACAAAAATCTATTTACATGGTAAACTGAGGGGGAGACCATGCGCTCTAGAAAGAGAAAGAGAGAGACAGAAACAGAGACAGAGACATAGGAGTGTGAGAGAGAGAACTTGATCAATGTTGAAACTAACCTAAAAGTATAACGATGCATAGTAGGATTGCAATTAAAGCGCCAGTGCTCAATCCGACAGGCAGAAAAATTGCTTCCACATTACACGACAGGATAGTACCGTCAGAGTCACACCTACAAACTCGAATAGTCATTGTGTTTGTACTGCTCTGGACAGGGTAGCTGCTGTCTTCTATTACAACAGGGAGGAAATACAACTCTTGCTGTCTGCGGCTGTATCCATTTCTTCTGGTTTCAATTCCAGCTGTGTTGTCTACAAAACAGGACATTCAGATAACATGGTTACTGTGAGTTTAACTTCAATTTTTTAAGTTGGTATCCACTAAGTATAAGAAGATCTTCTTGAATTGGTAAAATGCACCCTTATATTAGTTATGTCATATATCATCATGAAAGCTGCCAGAAAAATAATCCTTAAAGAAGGAGGAAACACTAATCTTGTCTGCTGCGAGAATTAGCTTTAGTATTTGGAAAAAAAATACAGAATGTTTTATAAGAAAAGGAGTCATTGGGTTACTCTTTTTTTTTTCTTACATGAAAATGTCATTGAGGAAAAGAATATTTCCACACATATTAGCAAAACAAAAAAAATGCATTAATCTGTTGAATATCTTACATAAGAATTTATTTTTTAAAATTCATTAAAAATCTATTGACGGAGGCTATGGTTGTAGTTCAGTGGTGGAGTTCTTGCTTGCCTAGCATGTGAGGCATTGGGTTCTATTTTCAGCACCATATAAAAAATAATTAATGAATTAATTAAAGGTATTGTGTCCATCTACAACTAATTATTTTTTAAAAAATCTATTGACTCTTTCAGATTAAAACTTGTGATTTTTCCTGTGTTTTGTATGGATCATTTATACATAAACAAATAAACATGTTTATATATGGACCCCTCATATCCACACATTCCATAGCCATGGATTGAAAATTTGAGAAAACAAGCAATGGAAAAAAATTTCCATTGCTATACATAAAGAGTACAATTGACTATTTATTTTTGTATCATTTACATTGTGTTAGGTATAATAAGTAATGTAGAGATGATTTGAAGTTTTCAGAAGGCTGTGCACAGATTATGTGAAAATACTATGACATGCTTTATAAGGAATTTGTATTTCTGAAAAATTTGGACTCTGTGGGTGTTAGAGTTCTGGAATTAATCCTTAACATACCAACAGACAACTGCAGGTAAGAGTGTGTGTGTGTGTGTGTGTGTATGCATGTGTAGGTATTTAAATGCTTTCACTCTTGTACATCAGATAAAATAAGAGAGATGGAAAAATACACTCCAATTATAAATATAAAAATACATAAAAATTTGTGAAAATCATGAACTATTACCACTTTAATGTAATTACAAAGGAAAATCATTTTAACTTGAATAAAATTAATAGTAGTGATATTTGTAGAAATAAAAGACACCAAAATTCCATTTCATATAAATTTAATTAATGTTTCAATTGAAAATATTATTTTGCATTCATTTGCTCTTTTCTTATATATTTCTATACATGAAAGCAGAAATTTTAGTTTATTTGAAAACTCTCCATTATTATTTCCAATAAAGAAACTCCCCCCAAATGTTTTATTTTTACAAATAGATTGACATGTAGTTTATTATTTATCAATATATTAACATTCATAATTCCCACTTGAAAATAGATTTTAAAAATTAGAAAAAATATATTACTCAATAAAATATAAGTCTGTTAAAAATGTTATCATTTCCATTATGTTACATTGTACTGTTTGTAGATACTAAATGGGGCCATCAGAAGTTACTGAAAAACGAAGTACCTTGATGAGCAAAGTATAAATGTGGTAAGACCAGGGTTTGTTTTAGTAAGATTACTTTGTTATTATTATAGACATAATACTATAAAATTAAGAAACAAAACTTAAAAATGCCAGATGTCTACTAGAATACTCCCAATTAGATTTACATGTCAAATGATTGTGGGGACAATAAGGATAGAAAAATGGAGACTAGTCAAAGCAATGCTAAAATCTTCAGTACTTGATGTTTTTCTACATGAATCTGAGGAAAAGGAACAAAGATTAAGTGCTGTAACCTGAGTGAAAATAATTAATAGGTTTATTTGTTTGTGTAGCAGTACTGGGGATTGAACTCAGGAATGTTCTACCACCCAGCTACTTCCCCAGCCTTTTATGTTTTTATTTTGACACAGGGTCTCGCTAGTTTGCAGAGCCTCAAACTTGTGATCTTTCTGTCTCATCCTCTTGAATAATTGGAATTAGAGAAATGCACTACAGTGTCTAGAATCTTTTGGGATTTTTAAAATATTTATTTTCAGTTTATTATTTTTTGAAAATAGATTGCATGAAAATTTTACATTGTCAAAGTGAGACAAAAAAGGCACAGTAAACCTCATTTCCCCTCTTAAAACATTTTCTGTACCCTAAAAAGTGTACAAATATAGCTTGCAGTAAAGCAGAGCAATAATTGACATTAAATTCTGTAGCAGTTATATGTGCAGTCTATAAGCAAACACTGATTCTAAGACAGAGGGTCTGGTCCATATTGTCATGATTATCTTGGTCTTCCAACAAAGACAGATTAGGGGGGTATAGCAAATACTCAGGGTGAGTAAGTGATGTGTGTGTCAATCCTATGATCTAGAAATCTGATTTGTCTGCATTATATTCATGAATTAAACCAAGGGCATCCTGCATTGGGCTCTATGAATTCTTTCTCCATCCTCTTGTCTTCATCTTCACAGCCAGTCTCACCCGATAATGCAAAGGTGCCAGGACTAGTCTTTTCTCCCTTTCATGTCTTTTCCATATTACATAAGACTGATCTTCCCAAAATGAAAATCTGAACATGTTATACTGTTGCATAAACTTTTCAAAGACTTATAAAATTACTCTATTTGAATTACTACACCTTTAGCTTATTTATAAATAGTGTGAACATAATGACCTGATTTATTTTGAACAGCTCAATTTTATATGTGTTGCTCTAACTGAAAACTATAAATATTGTCTATTTCTGTTCTCAGAAGTGTTACCATTTTCATGATAAAACATGTGGTTGCTTTATTTATAAAATCCTTCAACTTTGGGGTGCTGTTTCATGTACAGCTGTTCTTCAGACCCCAGCATTGAGTCATTCTCACTCAACTTTCTTTGGTGACAAAACATGGGGACTCCAATTTCTTTCTCTAATTATTTAAAGCAAACCCAGTTTTCTCAAAACATCCTTGGGCTTCTACCAATAATCACCATCATTATCATCCCATTATAATTTAAGTACTTAGTTCTAGAAAGAGAATTTATTAAAACTTTAGTTTCTCACTACCCAATATTATAAAAATTGGCATTTTAATTCTTATTTTTTAGCATATAGATATTTTGAAGCCAGGAGCAGTGTGGCACATGCCTGTAATCCCAGTGGCTCAGGAGGCTGAGACAGTGGGATAACAAGTTCAAAGCCAGCCCCAGCAAAGGCGAGGCTCAAAACAACACAGTAAGAACCTGTATCTAAATAAAATATAAACTAATGCTGGGGATGTGGCTCAGTGGTCGAGTGCCCCTGAAGTTTAAACTCCAGTGGTCACTTTATTTATAAAATCCAAAAAAAATTTTTAAGAGATAAAAATGTCAAAACAAAAAAAACAAAAACAAACAAAAAGCCAAAAAGCAAAACTATAATTTGCAATCTTAATAGAGAACACATAAACCTTAATATAGACAGTTTCCAAATTCGTGGTTAAATATTTTTAGTCTATATGTTGTATGAAAGCATACCCATAGTATGAAATTGTTACCTTTTTCATTTTTAGTATGATATTTAAAAATTGCATGATATATTCCAAACTTTATTCTAAAATAGACAATCTGTTAGATGATTTTGCCCAACTGCAGATTAACAAACTGTTCTAAACACATTTGAGATAGGATATGCTAATCCCTGATGTTTAGTAGGGTAGGTATATGATATGCATTGTCAATTTAGTATATTTTCAACTTTATGATGAGTTTATTGAGACATAATCCTATCATACATTGAGAAGCATCTGAAATCCAGTATTCTTTATGTTTTTTTTTGTAGTGGATATAATAGTGTCACATGCAATAGTAATAGCAGAAGTAGTAGCAGTGCTGGCCATAATAGTAGTAGAAAGTAAGTGTAAACATGGTATATGAGGGGATAACTAAAATTATAGTGGCAGTAATATATTATAACTATTATGTTTCATACTTTGTATACATGAATTTAATGCAAGTACACTGAAGTTCTCATCGTTTAGTATTATTTTCTGAGAGTCAACCATTTTGGTATGGCCTGGGAATCATTCTAATTACAATATCTACAGTAGTAACCTGTGCTATACTGAGTGTTATTAAAATAAGACAGGTACTATAGAGTTACCTATTTGTATGTACAAGAAATATGCATGGGAGCCAAAGGATATATTTGATAGGGACAACTTTCAATTTGTCTGGTAGCTTTTTGCATGCATGGCTCATTAAGAGACATTCCTTTGTATGGTGGAAATACATTGGCCTTCTAGATAGATCCATATATAAATATTTAACTTATTACTATTTAGACAATGTTGGATTTCTCATATGTGGATTTTTTTATTTTACAAAATTGAATGCTTTTAAGAAAAGTATTGATTCCTCTATATGTGCCCTTTGAAAAAGCTACTTGAAAAAGGTAAATCTTTAAGTGTTTATACTTACTTCTGAAGTCACGGACTGTAAAATTTGGTTTGATGGCAGCCTCAGGGGATAATCTAAAGGAGAACTGCTGCCCAGCAGGTGAAAGATCTCGATCTGCAGCACTGACTATCTGAATTATCTGTAACAAAGTTAAGATTAAACTTGAAGTCAATCAGTTTTGAAAGGAACTTTACATAACAGGTTTATAAATCCATTTAATGAAGCATGCTACAGAAATTATACTTTTTGAATTTATTTCAACAGGCCAATTACTCACACATAATTTTTATTAACAATTTTCTAAATGTTTACAGGTTTTAATAGCAGGCTCAATTATAGGACACAGGTTAATTCTAAATCAATATATGTGAAACTGAAAAGCTTAACAGCATTGAAAATTCTCACTAATAAGCAAAATGAAATTAAAATGTACTTGTTTGCATTTTAAATTAGATGAATTGAATGCTTTCCAGCCTAAACATGAAGCTGCTTACTGGAAACAAAATATTTGATTATCTAAAAGTGCTAGAAATAGCAAAATTTTAGAACTGTTGTTTGTTAGAATGAGTTTTATTTTCATGTATAAAACAATGGGAAACAAAGAAAGAATGTGTATATTGTTTCTGTTGTTAGGTTAATTTTCCCTCATTGATTAGGAACAAAAATATGTTTTTATAGATTTCCATAATAAGCATTGCAATCCCTATTTCAAAAATGTTCTTCACTGTCACCAAAAGTAGCATATAGTCTAGTTAAATTCCTGATATTTCAGTAAGATGCTGTTAAATTTGAAAACAATCAAAAAGTAATTTCTCAGAGCCAAACTATAACATTCATAATTCACTATATAGATAAGCAAGTTACAATGGCTTTAAGTGATTAGACAGGCAGCTCAGTGGTAGAGTGCTTACTTAGCATGCACAAGAATATGGATTCCATTCCACCAAAAACAAAACAAAACAAAACAAAATCAGAATGGCTATCAGGCACTTTTGAATCAACATATCCAATAGCTGTGTGCAGACAGACTAATTTCAGGAAGCATGTATGGGAAAAGACAGAGGATGTGTGCTGATCAGAGGATCATGCTTTTGAACTAAATTTCAATCTGGCAGAGGAAGACGTTATATTAAATTATGGTAACCTGCAATAATTGTGTAAAATATTCATCATGTGACTGATGCTATTAAACTGATGCTTTTAATTTTTGTTTTATTTCTGGTTTTTATTCCTGGTTAAATCCAGTCTCCTGACTACAATTTACCTTCCCATATATTTGGGCACACAGAGAGATACCTAAATGATGGATAGATGAATAACAACTGTTATTGGCATTTATGTATCAGTGCAGCATTAGTAACAAAATTAGGAATTTTGGATTCTGGATTCGAAATTTTAATTTCTTATCATAGCGCAAATTCTTTGCACAGAATTTATTTTCCCTGTATAATTGTCATGAATGAGACTTTTATAATTTATCATTAGATGATAGAATATAATAATTTAGAAAGAATCTTGATACAGACCCTGAAAAATTAACTTTTTTTGACTCAGACCAATGTACTCCAATCATAGAATTTCACCCCTAAAAGTTCTGTACATTACTAAGGAACCAATACTTGATTGTCAATTTTTATTTTGTTTTCTTAATGCTGTTAGCAAGTGCCACTATTAAATTAAAAATATTTAACAACAAAATATCAAGAACATATTTTTGAAGAAAGAAAATGGTCTTAGGACAGCATATAGAAACTATTAAAGACATTCATTTATCTGGAAACGTTATTTGGAAAGCACTGCCCTGAAGAAAATAACTCTTACATAAATTTTCACAGGCTTACATAAGACCAACTTATTCCCTACTATTTCTCTTCTTTTTCTAAAAGTACACATACACACACACACACACATGTATACATATATGTATTTTATATATATCTATATCTATATCTATCTATCTATATCTATCTATCTATCTATCTCTCTCTCTCTCTCTCTCTCTCTCTATATATATATATATATATATATATATATATATATATATTCAATAATAATCCAGAAGAGAAAGCTATTTGCTATGCATGGTTTGTATGCCAGGGGCACTATAGTTGGGTCCCCAAAACAGAAAATGGCAATATATCACACACCCTGCAAACTCAAGGGACATTTCAGCACTGTGCTTTGAACATAAGTATTGAGGAGTAGGACACAAAAACCCAACAGATATTTTTTGGTATAGAGTTCCCAAGAACACAACAGATTTTTCACTATTTTGTCCACAAATAAGAAAATCTGGTTGATCTCTAGTAACATGGACTTGTACCAGTAGTTCAAATCTTTTACTTTATTAGACAAATATAGCAAAATAGAGCTCTGTTCCCAGAGGCTAATTTCATTTGGAGCATTATAAGATTTTGATTAGTCTAATATTATTAATATTCTTAAGTATCCAGAAGACAAAAATGGCTTTTTTATATACTTTGGCACAGTGGAGCTCCTCAAAAGAGAAAAATAGCTAATGTGTAGAAGTTTTGTAAACTTCTTTTAATTTTCCAATTATCCAAATTAGTTAATTAATTTATGCTCAAATATTTATGTAGCATCTACTTTTAAAAACATTGGAGCAGAACAAGCGAAACAGACATCCATGAATATTATGGATGCTTTCAAGGTGATAAGGTTTAATCCATTCTGTGACTATTATAAATTAATGATGCAGATTTCTTATTTGCGGTAACATGATGAAAATATGTAGTCATGTAATTCATTTAGTGATTTCTTCACATCATCTATGAATGATTGGGACAACACAGTCAATCTAGAAGTCTCCATGCTTATGAAAATGTAACTTTACTCACCAAAATGGTGTCTGCTTGACACATACAATTACTGAACACTTGAAATGTTACTAGAGTGAACATGGGCTCTAAATTTTATTTAAACTTCATATAATAGTTATATTGATAGTACATATCACTGGTGCACAGCTTTTGGACAAATAATATACTAAGAAGTATTACATGCACAAATTGAAAGACAGTAAATTTTAAAGCGTGCCCTTTAAAAATATTGTTTCAAATGTAAAATTTATTTCAAGAATTAAAACTCATTCAATTTACCTAAGTGGTTATGTTACTTAGAAGTGATTGAAGTTTACATCAATATATCACCATAGAGTGTTTGCTCACAGTCAAGTTCTTTAGATAAGCCACAGTAAGAGAGTACAAAAATGGCAGAATGCATAATCCAAAGAACTTGCTAGGAAATCAAAACTTTATTCCCTATAGGATTATTTTCACATCCATTTATTCACCATCATCCACACAAGTTTAATATCTCTTATGATTTATTTTATGAGGACTTGTTCTGAATATGAGCATATGCACATGTATATTTGTCTGGACTTAGAGTTGAAAATATACACATATGATGCATCTTTAAACATGTTTTTTTTTTTTTTTTTTTGGCGGGGGGTGGTGGGTTCTGGGATTGAACCCGGGGTTTCTTTACCAATGAGTTACATTTCACTTCTCTATTTTTGAAATAGGGTTTCACTAAATTTCTGAGGCTGACCTCAAACTTGTTATCTTCATTTCTAAGCCTCACAAGTCAATGAAATTACAAGTGTATACCACCAATATTTTTATATACTCTTGATTTACACTATTGTTAAGATACCTGTCCTGGTTTTGCATTTTCACAGACGGCTGTCTCATATGGCACAGATATTTCTGGAGGAAATTCATTGACATCTAAGACATTAATTAGTATGTTGACTTTGCTGGTTAATAATGGGTTACCTGTTGAAACATAAAAACATAAATTATGATTAAAATTGTTTTAGTTATTCTTTCTTCAATAAAGAACATCAGTGCAACACTGATGCTTAGGTGTCAGAACACAAACAAGGCATGTTACCAGAGTTCATCCCTGAAACTCACCATTAGGTAAGACGAACCACTTAGCTGGCATTTTATAAGTTTAGGGCATTTCTGGTGGGATGACTTAACTATCTTACCAGGGTTAGTTCACAAGAGTAATCTTTGCCATTAGCAATATTTTTTATTAGATTAAAAAATATAGCTTTCTAAGTTTTACAAATGTAGTAAAAATTTTACTATCTGCCATGTTTTACATCTTAAATGACCCTTTTGAAATTAATCCAGTCAGAAGTTTCTTCCTGAATAAAAGAATGATAAGTATCAAGAAGAAAGAGAGATTGCTTTACATAAGTTATAATTAAGAAAATAGACTTAAGGGAGTAAAATCAAGGAACATTATAGAAAGCTAGGATATCTTGAAATTATTTGTTGATTATATGAAAGAAAAGAATAAGCAAACTTTTGTTAGAGAATAGATTCTTTCTACAGTATCAAAATAAATCTCAACTGAAAAGGCATCTGTTAAAATCCCATCACAGGGTTTGGGTTCAACCTAATAACTTACCCTTGGCTACCTGTCATTTGCTGAAGGATGCTATAAATAATTTACTACAAAACATAAAAATATTACTTACAAAACATAAATGTATTGTTATAAATAATTAGTTTGATAAATTATTTATAACATAATGCTTTAATATTTTGTAAGTTTAGCTTACAACATACAAAATTTATCTTTAAGATTTTACAGATGAATCAGTTGTCTCAAATTTTTAAAGGCCTACCCAGATCACACAGCTAGAAGAATGGGGAGTTACAAATGCAAGCCCAGGAGTATGAAACTGAAAGACATATATATTCTACCATACATTCTGTCTTGATTCTTCTGTAGAAGAAGTTAAGTTCTTCTACAGTGTTATTGAATATTCAAAATATTCTTATACACCTCTATCTGGAAAGCTTTAAAGAAATGAGTACACAAATATTTTTGAATGACTGATTGTCACAAGTCTATAAAATTCAGTAGAAAAAAAAATTAAAAATGTTGAACGTTAATATAAGAAATATCTACACATTGCCATATGTCACTGCGAAATCTACTCTTGTGTACCAGTATGGACAGAGAATATATGAAATGAGGATATTTGGTGTAATTATGAAAGATATGTTATTAATCTTGGAGAATGATTGTGAAAATACATATGATGTAGACATTGATATTGGTGAAAGCATATTAACTTATTTGATAAAAAAGCTTTGGCTTAGTTTTCAAAAGTTATTGAACCTTTCTTATTCAGTTATTTCACTGAGTTTCCCCATGTAAAACACATGATATCAATAAGTCCTACCTCATAAATTTGTTGTATTAAATAAGATGATGTTTTACATAACTTTCAATGTTTTGGTGAAATTCTTATTTTTTTTTATTACCAGTTATATTCTGTGGAGATTAGCTAGATACAGTTTTTTTTTTGTTTGTACTTATATTAATGTAGTACAGAATAGGGATAAAAGTCAGTAAATTTGCTAAACTTGGTTTAAATTTCTAAAGAAACTGCATATCAACAATAAAAATAAAACAAATGTCTAATACTTTAAAAAGTTAACAATGAATCAACAACATTCTAAAACGCATTATACAGATTAACTCATTTATGGTTCATGGCAACTATTATATAGACACTATCATCAACCCTATTATGCATATGGAACTCTTAAAAAATTAGCGAGTTATGACTTTTCCAAAAACCAAAAGTGAAGGTAAAAATGCTGACTTGGAATCAGATGTTCTGGCTCCTTAGTGCTTCTCAATTCTATTATATATTATTATTTTTAAAAAGCACACTGATAATTATACAGCCCCTTAAAATAGATAAATAGTTTATATTATGTCTTAGATTTTGCTGTTAAGAAGAATAACAACCTGTTCAACATCTGGATAATGGGAAACAGTCTATTCCTATTTTACATGGTAAGGTGGGTTCAAGTCCAGAGCCCATATGAAGAGGAGAATTTCTTTTCCACTTTTTTCTAGGGTAGGAGTTTTATTTCATTAGGTTAGAGTGAGAGGGAATTTCTTCAAGAGGAGACAAGTCTTATCCCTCAATTGTATTTATCTTAACAATCTACTTTTATAATATATCAAAAGGTTATCAAAATGAATTTAGGCCTACATTCATCCATCAAAAATTCTGGGTATTTTTGAATTATTTAATTATTGCCCTAAAATATCATTTTAGTTGATGTTTTCCATGAGTAAATTGTCACAAAAAAACATCAATACTGTAATAACTTATTATTAATAGTGTTTCTCCAGGGGATTCTTTAAGCGTCTTAACTAAGACAAATCTTTGTTGTGTGAAACAATTCTGTGCACTGCCGGACACCTAGATTTCCTGAAATTAAATGTCAGAAGCCAGCATTGCAACAACCATAAAATAAATGTTCAATCAAGGATAGAGGAAAAACAATAACAACAGCATGTTCATATTGCTGAAAATGAGTAATGGGTTTATGGATTTAATTATGTTATTCTTTTCTCTATTACATACATTTTTAATTTTTTCATAATTAAGGGTTTAAATATAATATACTGAATTCCTTAGTGCCAGCTAGGTTGGAGAAAACATCTCTGTTTGAGAACTACTGCAGTCTAATAAGTCTTGAACTTTTTGCCATGGTATAAAATTT